ATTATATAATTCTTCGAAACCATTATCAACTAATCAAAAATATTATATACGATCTATATAATAAACATTTCTCTCTTTCTTTTTCCTTCAAATTTAAGAATTAACAAAAATGATTACATTTCATAAAATAAATATAAAAGATAGATTTTGATTAATTTTTGAAAGCTTATTATATTTATATTTTATATTTTTCAAAATTGGAATATGTTATCATATCAAAAATAGATTAAATCGTTTTTATTTAAGATATTTCAATCTTCGACATAAAAAATACTTTTTTAACATAAAATAACTATAAATCTTGTTATTAGTTTTACTTATTACATTAAAATACTAATATTGACAGGAAATATGTTTATCATAATAATAAAAAATATATAAGCGGTTTTTAGTACTTTCTTTGAATATTGTTTTTTGAATATAATAATTTATCTTTAATCAAGTATATACCTTCTCTTATTAATAAATTAATTTGAAATTTCTTGAAAGTTTTATAACATTCATTTTTTAATACTATATAATATATTTCGAAATGTTCTTTTTTTATCAATTCTTTTTATATAATACCTAGCTGATTATTTATATAGTATCCTCAATTATATCTTTGATTTATTCGTTTAAGAAATAGAGCAATATTAGTGTTAGTTTATATTATTAATCTTATTAATATAAATATTAAAGTTGTTTTTGAAATAGTTTTATATCAATTCAAAATTTGATTTAATAGAAAAATAATATCTTATAAAGATATGATGAAAAGAATCATAATGATTTAATATGGTATACTTTATATTATACGTCATAGTTAAAATTATTAATAATTTATTTGTATTTTTATTTTGTAAAACTGTTAACAATAATATAATTTTTCTCTATAATATTAAAAATATATTATATAAAGAGAATTAAAATCTTAGATTAAATCACATAGATCAAGTTATAATAATTAATATTAAAGCTAAAGAATATATTAATTTATTAATAGAATACTAATCATTAAAATATAAGAAACCTACTCTATTTGTTTTTTTTTTTTCAAAAATATAGATCTGTGTTCAATTTTTTGAAAAAAAGTTAAATTATAATTTACACGCTTTTTCTTGGCCCTTTATAGATAAAAATAATAACGGCCTTGCTAGCGCTCTTTGTATTATTTTTTAATACTATTTAGGATCTATGCTTATGCTTGTATTATATAGCTTTTAGAATCCTAAAAATAAATAAGATTCTTATTCTATATTCTATCAAAGTGTGAATTTTGAAGCTTTTGAAGTTATTTAGAGATTATAAGCTTTTTTGAGAAATGGTGGGTCTGTGCACAGGCTTAAGTGGGGTATATCCAATCCTGAACTTTAATAAATCTAATAAATCTAATAAATCTAATAAATCTAATAAATCTAATAAATCTAATAAATCTAATCCCCCTCTCCCTCCCTTTCTAATCCCCTCCTCTGTTCTGAAATCCTTATCTCTCTTATCACAAATCCCGAATCTCAAACTAAATCAAAATATTTATTCAATTCTTCAAAATCTTTAAATCTTTAATCTCTTTAATTCATTCTTTAATCAATCATTTCTTTATTAACTATAATTTATTAATATAAAAACTATATTCTTAAAAGCTCTCAATTTATAAAAATCCTAAATATCCTTTTCAATCTTATTTTATGAATTCTTATTTTCAATTTATAAATTCTTTATTATTTTTTAAATTCAAATATTTTAATATTCATATATAAAACATTCATACTTTTTCTTACCAATTAGCTTTTAGTTATAAACCGTATTTTAAATCCTATATGTTAGGGATAATTATAATAATATTATTAATACCAGGGGCCTGCGAGCCCCCGGACCCCTGCTTTTTGAGAAAGTATTATATAATTATATTTATAATTAGAAAATCTAAAAAAGAAATTTTATTAAAAGCTTATAAGTAAAGTCGGGTTATTTTTATTATATTACTTTTTTTAGTATTTTATTTAGATTTTTAATTTTATTTAGATTTTAATAAATCACTTTTATATTAACTCATCAATTATATTATTGAATCACGAAAACTATAATATAGAAATAATTTTTATTAATACTAAATCCACTATATTTAATATAACCCTTTTTTAATTAATTATATAGACTCTAATTACATCCATATTACTTAAACTTTAGCCCTTTATAAAAACTCTAATTCTAAAACTACTATTATAAAAATTACATCATTTGAAAGCCCTCAGTTTCTTATATATAATTACTACTTTCCTTTTTTTTATTCAATTCATATTAATTTAAATAAACTAATTTAAATGATTTCGTTGAAAAAGCTTAGAATTTTATAATTTATATTATACAAACTTCAACTCTTTAGAAAACCCCTAATTTTGAAGCTAGTATTATGAAAATTACATTATTTGAAAGCCCTTAGCTTCTTTTATATGGTTATTACTTTCTTTTCTTTTTATTCAATTTAAATCAATTTAAATAAGCTAATTTAAATAAGTTCGTTGAAAAAACCTAGAGTTTTGTATTATAAAATTTATACTATATAAATTTCAATCCTTCAGAAAAGCCCTAGTTTTGAAACTAGTATTATAAAAATTATATTATTTGAAAGCCTATAGCTTCTTATATATAATCATCACTTTTCTTTTCTTCTTGTTTGATTCCTATTAATTTAAATAAATTAATTTAGATAATTTTGTTGAAAAACGTAAGGTTTTATACTATAACTATAATATTAAGAAAGTTATAAAATCATTATGATTAATGAGATTGCTTGAATTGAGCTTCACTAAACGAGATTCTTTTTTTTCGTGTATATAGCTTTCAGTTCTCGCGGACAGCAAGATTATTAAGGAGGTAAACTTCCAATTATTTACTTGTTAATCAAATATAATGTTTTTTTTTAATAATCATTAGAAAATACAATATTAGAAATAAATAAACTCCTAAGATTGAAATTCCATAATTAAATTATTCTTTCCTTACGATCTCTAAATCCGGATTCTAATTATTATATTTTATTTATAAATATTACATTGATTTTATCTCAAAACTAAATAAGAAGATTATGATAAAAGACTTTTCAAAATAATAAATAACTCTTTTATATAATAAAATTATCATTCTCTCAAATTAATCAAAATAATATATTAATAAAAACAAATATATTAAATGTAGTTATATTACATATCAAAATAAAAACAAATAATACACAACTCGAAATCCATTAACTCGATCTCATATTTTTTCAATAATAAAACTATCAATATACAGCTGAAATGTTAATAAATATTAGTTTAAAATAAACTTTACTGTATATAAATATTATATTAATAATCTTTTTCGTTCAAAAGAAATACATTGAAATCTTTTATATTAGAATAACAAAGTTAATAATATATTTATTAATATTGATATAATATATTAAACTTTTAATATTGATTTCAATATATAGTCTATTATTAATAATATCAAAAATGTATCAAAGTTTTTTTTAGAATGATATTTAATATATTTCAAAATTTAAACAAAGATCTAAATCATTTATTAATTATTATAAATAAAATCGAAAATCGAAAATCAAATTTCTTACTAAACTTAATTTCTAATCAAATTGATTATATAGACAATTGATTATTAAATCATCTTATAAAAACTGCACTCAATTTTATAAGAAATTCAATTATATGAATATTAGTTGAAATATTTCAAGGTTCTTATGAAAAAAAAAAACTTTATTCTATATTGATTATTATATTAGATCCTGAAGATTCTTTATTAAAAAAACTATTTTGATTATTCATTTTCTTAATTATAATAACAAAAGATATTAAATATTATTCATGATTTATAAAATTGCTTGCTCTTATTGGTTTTATACAAAAATTTATTTTCAATAAAATCCTATATTATTACGATATATTAATGATTTGAATATTTTATCTTTCCTTCTTTTCTTTTTACTATTTTGTTTTTTGTGTATTTTTATTAATAACTTTAATTTAATATAATCAACAGTTTTTTTGAAACATATTTTCTATAAGATTTATATCTCTAATTGAAAATAGTCATTTCTTTATTATTTAGTTTTTTAAATAATATCAAAATAGATATCTTTCAATTATCTCTTTTTATAATAAAACTATATATTGCTTTAAATTAATTTATATTCGCTTTAAATATGATAAAAGAACTATATTCAAATAGTTTTATAAAGCTTATTATAAATCAAAAACGCTTTTTATGATTATTCAATTAGTTCAGTTATAAAAACTATTAATTAAATTTATTTTTATACTTCTTAAGAGATTACAGAATATGAGTCTTTAATCTCTATTTATTAGATGAAAATCAATACTATTATTATTACTATCTCTATTCGTAAATACTCCTTTAAGTATATCTTAATTATTTCTTTCTGACTTTGATTGATTAATTCCATTACCATCATAGGTCTTACTTTAGAAATAGTTATAAATTTAAAAAAATTCTTTATTATCTTTAATCTAATTAAGTCTTTTCCGATTATATTATTAATTCATTTATAATTGTATTTTAGATTAAAGTAGTTCTATTGCTTTTTCTATAGGCTCTTTTTTTCTGCTTAATTAGAAAAATCAAGCTTTGATAAATTAAAAGTTTTATATATTACTCACAACTAATCAGAAAGAGTTTTATAAATATATAAAATATAAAAATAGTCTAATTATAGAAATATACAATTATATTATAGAGTATATAATCGATTAGTTTGCTTCTACGAATCTATAATAGAAAATATTACAAGATAGAGGGTCTTGAATCGAAATGTAACAACACCTCGAAAAAAAATCGATTTCCTTATCACTCGTTATTTCACTACTATTTCACTCTACGCATGTGAAACATGAAATAGTCTCCAGAGACAAATATCGATAAGGTTCCTAAAGTGCCTTTTGATCTTCCGAAATGATATTGTTCTTCCTATAATCTACTAAACGCTAAGTTTCAGTGTATTATTCCTACTCGATCCTCTTCACAGCAAACTCAATAATTGCCACTCCATCCTCCATCCAAGCACCATCTTCAACACCAAATGCCATCTCGTCAAAGGATCTCATCCATGCCTGCGTTTCCCACCTTGTCCCCGTTTCCTGTCCAACCTGATCCCATAATTTTGCAAAAGATTCCGGATTGTGTCGCCACATAGGAACGACGAGTGACTTCAAAGTTACTTCTTGTGCTTTGGGGTTTCCAATCTGATTTCCTACAATCATGGAGCCAGGCCCTTTGGTAAATCTAATCAACTGTTTGGCTGCTTTGACTTGTCCTTCCCAATCCCATTGATGAATTACCTGTGTTACTGCGATAATATCTACTTGACCTCTCAATGGCGCCAGTACTTTGGACTCGGATACGATACCAGCTTCAACGAACTGCGCAGAAAACTGATCACGGTCTCGGAACAAGTTATATCCCACCTCCCAATGGCTCACGATATTGATAGCATAAATTTTTGTCCGAGGGCGCACCATCGTAGACTAATCGTCGAAGATCATGTCAAAGAAAACATCCAACATCCATGAGTACCTCACCGGCCTGGACCCGCTTCAGAATCTCAGGATATACAGGGTTCCAGCAGAGTTGAGGTACAAGCCACGCACCAAACCCAGTGCAAGGGTACGCGCGGATGTCCCAGGCTTGGTCACGCTAGAAGAAGGATTAGAGTTAGATAAAAAGCAGATGAGGATAGAACGCCTTATGATTTCATGAAAATGTTTGGATTGTTCCTCCGGTGGGATGTGGCTATACTTTTCTAATAGCTGTCTTGTCCACGTTTTGGAGAATGTTAGTTCGTTGAAAGACCACTACCTATCTTTGAGGATCCGAGGGCATTGATTCGTATCTCGGGAATGAACTTTGAATCGATATTTGCTAGATAGAATGGGAACTTTGCTCTGTCAACTGATCTTGCATATCCGGGCTCTGAGTAATTCAATGTATCACTTGCTGATGCCATGACTAATGATTGAGCTATCTTGAATGCTCTGGTTGTTCTCCTATGTAGACTCAATTGTACGGAAGCGAGGAGTACAATAGATTTAAATAGTGTGATGTGACCCACAGTCAGCCAACAGTTGATTGTATGTCACTGCTGCTGACAGTGAAAGGCCCACTATGTAAGCGTGTAAGATAAAAATTTGACTTTGCACTCTGGTCGATGAAAGCAGACATAATGACGAGCCGCTTCTGCATCAATGCCACTAGATTTTGGCCCATCCTTCTGCAGTAGTCTAGACCTGAGTGACCCGCCAAAGAAATCATATAACTGCAGAAATCGTAAGTAGGATATTCGGAATAGACGGATGTATTATGTATGTCTTCTTTGCTGAAGTTCTGGAAACTTCTCCTTTGTTGTGGCAGAGATCTATGCCTAGCTAAAGATTATCATACTAGTTGAGCCGAAGATATCGGATGCGATAATAAATCTTTTAATAACATTTTGGGTAGTGCCTCAAGTGGGCGCCTTCGTAGTATTTGTCGTTCTCATACATGCCCCTGCTCTAGTCTAGTAATGACCTTGAGGTTTATGCACGTATACATAAGCAACTTTCCTGAACAAGTGATGAAATGCCTGTCTGTATGTATTCTTAATGTTAAGCCATATGCAGTGTCTTTGTTCTCCAGACCCAATTCAATGCTAATGCCGACTATTGTTGTAAAATCCGGGACACTTTTATTGATTCTGGCCGCAATCCATAATCTCTTCCAGATATGTCATGATCTTGTAAATTGAGTAGGCGAGGCGGCTCTTAGGTATGAATGCTTAGCTTCTTCTCAAGACTGGGGCAGCACTTCCCACATAGCATAAAATTGTTATTCAGAAAAGTTAAGAGAAGGACAATTTCAATCATACTTAAGCAAACCAGTCTATGCTATAGCTTGCCTATATCACCCAATCTCTCATTACAACAACTCTCGGTTTCTACGTGTCAAGTGCCCAATTCATGAACCATTTGCTCTTCACTCGTTGATCAAGTCTGCACAGTATATATCCTAACAAGTCTTTTGCTAGTAGCCTGGGCGGTCTCCTTTTCTTAGCGATATTGTTAGAACGTGGATGCATTCGGAATACTTTTCCAAAGACCTGTCATGTGCAAGTGGATTATGGGAATTACAAATACATCCCGGTTGGACATTCAGTATTGGATGATGCGATTAATTTGATCGTGATTATCATTATCTTGATTGTGGTGTGAACGCTTAACTCAGCGGTGTGTCGGAAAATAGGCATATTGCTTACTTTTTGCTTTGCTTATTGTGAGTTTGATATCCATGTGAAGAAGCGTAATGCTGACGGCATTCCCAAGATGCACATCGGCGGGAAGTGCCCGTTGTGAAAATGTTGCAAAGCATCTTTACTATGAAGGAAAAAGATAGCTTAACTATTCTCACATCATCACGAAACCTAGCATCTCATGAGCCCGCTGTAGTATCTGTGAAGTTTGAGTCATGTATGCAAGAGAACCATCAACGAGTATAGAATAACAAGCTGATTACAAAAATATGTCTAGCAACAAATGCGATGATTTAATCATACGTCGAGTCAGATGTCAAAGTAGTTTCATCTTGCCTCCCAACACTTGACCTCATCTTTGACCATCGGAATTCCCGAGGCCTAACGAACATTGCTCCATCAGCTCATATCACTTGTCTCATTGAATGCCCTAATTTGTATCTTTGGTTCAACTATAAACCTGATAAAAAAATTGGCCCAAAAGCTGGGAGAAGCATGGCCGCCGGCACTTGGACCTGTGAGCTAATTCCTCTGTATAAGAATGAACATAGAAACACAGTGAAATGAGTTTATATTTCGCCCTATCGTGAATGAAGATAGGTAGAGTGCAGAATTGGACTGCTCTTTTTGGAGCGATTCCTAGAAATCTGAAGCCAACAGAGAGTCAATATTCACACAATGATCTAAGAAATACATCCCCACTCGATATCAAGACTTTCAGCGACCCATACACTCATTTCATTCTCCCTACCCAGCTATGGTCCAAGCTAGATAATCGTTTCAATTAATAGGCACGTAAAAATGAGTATAAAGGTTTATTGATCGGAATGTATTTGTATGATAAGAACGAAAGATCCTTTCGTTTTCAAGACAAATACTTACTAACAATCTTTTAAAATGATCCAACAATATCCGGAAGAATATTAATAATCCTAATCACTCTTAAATAGATCCAAGCTAAGCAAGGGTATTTACAGCTCCCCGCGAAAAAGAAGTCATGAATATACATATACAACAAATACTCCCGCAGTGTTCCGAAGACACTTGCTACATCAATTCCGAATAAAATAAAATAGCCAAGAGGTATTTTTCAAAATAGCCCTATACCATCCAACGAAATGGCTTTTAAACGCTTGCATCCTATGCATCAAATGAAGAATATCCCAATAGCAGCTAGATTCATAAGCCATTATAAACTCCTCAATACTCCATTCCCTAAACCCTAGTATGTCCATATAGTGGTATCCTTCTCAAATAGTACCGCTCGACCGGCTTTCTATCTCGCCCACACTTTCTTTCAAGCATTTGTCATTAATCTTAAACCCTTTAATCACTACCTAGGAGCTGGCGTGTAAGGCTTGTATCCTGGATATGCTGGTGTCTCTGGCTCTGGTGGAGCATAAGGTTTGTATCCCGGATACACTGATGTCTCTTGCTGCAGTGGTGGTGCAGGTGAATGATTGTTAAATCCTCTTTGTTGCGCACCACCATAACCTCCCATCTGCGGGCCAGGTGACATCATTCTATTCGGTCCATTTGGTCCAGGTCCCCTAGAAGGCATGCGTGGGGGAGGGTATGTACCGACATTGGAGGAATCATCCGATTGATAGGATTGATATGACTGCTCAGTGTTGTTGGTGTATGATCTTCCTTGGTTCAATGGCCTCGAGGTATCATTGGAAAATTGACGTGATGATTGGGCTGGGTATGGTCGATTATCGTACATTGGTTCTGCTTGACCGTATGCCGAGACTGGAGAATCATTGAAACCGCCACTAGTAATAAATTCTTGTGGCATAGTCGGTTCAAAGTCTTGGTTCTGAGGTGGTCCTCCATATCCTCGGCTTGGTGCTGGAGAGGGTCCGCCCCTAAATTGCCCTGGTCCACGATTCATTCCTGGGCCCGGTGAAGGTGCACCGCGATATCCTCGACCACCAGGTGGAGGCGTTCCTCTATATCCCATACCTGCATTTCCCATTCCGATTGCTGACCCAGGTCCCGGTGTCCCTCTATACCCCATTCCATCTTGTTGATTACCTGGGCCCATTGGAGGCGGCGTTCCTCTATAGCCTATGAGCGGATCGATGGGCATTCCTGGATTCGGTGTTCCTCCTACGCCATGTCCTCTACCCATTCCATTTCCTCCTAAATTGACTTGACTTTGGTTATATGGATCCTGTGAATTAATAAACCCATTGTTCATACCCTGAGGTTGTCTTCCATAAGGGCTTTCCCCTGGTCCAACCGCTGGGCTATTGGGATGACTATTGGCGACACCTCCGTTCATCAATGACATCTTCTGTCCCGTGACAGGATCTAGCTCCTTCAATTCCATGCCCATATCACCTTTCTCATCATCATTTACATGTACTTTGCTCGCATTTTCCCATGTCGGCATAGGCGGTAATGCATCTTCTGAGATAGTCTTTGGCGGATCGACCGCGAGACCATTTTTGCCTACTTCAAATGTTGCATATTTGGGAGGTTCGGGTCGTGCAGGAAGCGCGCCGCCCATCATTGGGGCTGGGGCTTGATAGCCTTGATTTGGGTTTGGAGGTGGATAATCGTCAAGATGTTTGTGAGGACGGTCCTTTTTACCATCGCAACAGCCACCACAACAATCGCAACATTTAAGAAAGGAAAAGCAAGTGCAACAACAGGACATGCCACAACAAGCACATCTTATTATACACCAAACTATGGAAAAAACCATCAAGCCGCCGATAATTATTGCTGCTATAACAGGCCATCTGGAGGTAAGGTGAGGTTTAGTTTGAGTTTAAGTAGGGAACAACAATGGAATGTGTCAAACGGGAAGGGGCGACGAACTTGCAATATGTAGCTGCCATACAATTTGACCATGAACTGAAAGAATCCTTCACACTCGAGACATTGTCTGTAATTGATCTTTTCCTCAAGAAGCTATCCACCAATATTTCTCCAATTCCCCTCCTCCTACTCCACTCCATCGCTGTTGTGATATGTGGCATTGTGAAATGTAATGTTGGCACACAATAAATTCTAGAAGTCGGAAAGTGCCTTGGGGTGGCGTGGTAAGACTTGATTGTCAAGTTTGTTGTATGCGATAACTTAAACTGTGCGTCGCAAGTGAGTAGTCCCTTTGGATGGCACAAGATTTGTTGCTGGTTGGTAGTTCCAGTTATTTGTTGATCCTCATTTGATTTGGATTATTCTGGGTCCTATTCCTTCCTTCCAAAGCAAACTCTCAAATTTCCC